AAAAGCTCTGTCAAACATAATGAATTTAAATTCACAGCCTCGGTGGCTGAAAAAACAAAGGATGAAATTGTGTGGCTCTGGAGGTCAGAGCTTTAATGTGCTGCTAATAGCATTTATAACATAAAGCAGTGTCACTGCATTAGTTTGGATTTAGCAACACCACTTTACATCAGCAGCAGAAGTGATTCATAAATTAAACTCTATCTCAGTAAACAGAGTGGAGAGAGGCACTTGCAGGCACCCCCTCCCTGCCCCCCCTCCTGCCACTGCTTGGGCACCCGTCCACGAGGCGCAAAGGAGATAACCTGGCCCAAGCAGCTCAGCCAACTGGCTCTCCAGACCCAAATGTCCCCTAGTTCACCACTTCTTCAAATGCTCCCAGGCTGCTGCCATCCGAGAGTTGATGGGTAGTAGGAATGGGGCTCCTCGGAGGGGGATGGCCATACCTGCGGGGCCCCCCTGGGGAGGGACACTGCAGGCCCCTGAGGGAAGGAGCATGCGCAAGCGAGAGCAATGCCACAGCAGAAATGCTTCAGACACGCTTTGCGCTGGTGTTGGCGAGGCTGTGGCTGGACTTTGCGCTCCATGCCAGCAAGCTCAGCCGCTGGCTTCATGGGAAATGCTCCAGAACTGAAGTATCAGCAGAACAGATTTCAGGATGAAACAATGAAAATTATAGTAGCAGATTGCTAGGACCAGACAGTTTCACTCAAAAGCTCTAAGGGAGCTCAGACTGAAACTACTGACATATTCAGTACAATACCACAACCGCTGTTGAAATGGCATGGCACCACAGGAATGGAAGGTGGCAAATGTAACATTCATTTTTAAAAAGGGCTTTTAGAGGCAATTCAGAGACCTCTGTGCAGGGAAGCTGGACTTCCATACAAGGCAAACTGATAGAAACCATAACAGAGACTAAAATGGCTAGATATGCAGATAAATGTGGTACAACAGGAAAGAGTCAGCACAGTTTTTAGAGCAAGAGGTCATGCAGCACAAATCCATTAGTATCAAAACCTGTGCAAGTCAGCATATTCATAAAAGATATGACTGCAAAGAGCTGCAGAGCAATCTCAAAAGAAATGAATGACAGGTTGATAAAATGACATATGAAATTCACTGGTAGCAAATACAAAGCAGGGAAAACCAACCCTAGCTACATGAAGACCATCGGGGCTGTAAATTAACATCAGTCAGGGAAGAAACCTCAAAGTCACTGAATTCACGGCACGCTCCAGCTCACTGCTCAACAATTGTTAAAAAGGTAAAAAGTGGGAGGGGAAAAAGGATCTTTAGGAACTACTACAAAAAGAAAAGAGAATCAAAAAAAGACCACTTCTAGTATACCTATATCTCAAATAATGGGTGCGGTTCTACATACACTCGGTCTAGAAAGGATATAGAAGCATCAGTGAAGATAGAGAAGAGATGGCACGGAAATGTGGGATGGTTTCCATAGGTGGGCAGACTAACCACGTTAGCGTTCTTCTGCTTGGTCACCTCAACAGAGAAGGGATGTGAGAGAGGTCCTGTCAACTCACAAGCGCCCTGGAGGACTGAACAAGAAAGCATTATCCATTGTATCGCGTAAGAGAAAAGGAGCAGAAACTGATCTATTGGGCTGCAGGTCTAAAACAAAGAGAAGGAAGTGCTTCTTTCACAGGATACAAAATTGAATTATGGCACTCATTGTCACAGGATGCTGGGGATGCCAAAAAAACAGAAGAATTCAAAAAGTGGTTAGCCAAATTCCTGAAGCCTCAACCCATCTGCAGCTGTTAAGCACAATAACCCAGATGCCACTCAGGAATTCCCTTAACCACAATTTGCTCACAACTGAGCTGGTAATACCACAGAAGGATCACGTTATACTTGCCCTGTCCTTACACCCTTTTCCTAAGCATCTGCTTTTGAAACGTGCTGCCTAGTTAGCTGGACCTTTTGTTTAGGCCAGTGTCACTGCATATTATATTCTATATAACATAAAGCCTATGTTAGGAATCTAGGATTTATTGCAGGTGTTCATAAAAGTTTGTTTACCTCATGTGAAAATCTTGCCTCTGGGAGGGGCTAATAACTGATGCTGTAGAGTAGGGCATTTCTCTCCTAAAAATTTATCATGTCCCTTGAAGTCTGTACCAAAGATCAGCTCTTTCTTGACCTCCCACAGATGCTCTGTTAAATCCATAAACCATGACACTGGATTACCTTTATCATTGATTTAACTGTCACCACAAAAGTAGTTAGCAGTCATGAAATAAGCCAGCAACTGTATTTGAAGCAATGCCCTCCTGAGGCACATATTTCCTTTTATTAGTTCTTAAATTAATTCTCCTTCATTGCATGAAGCGTGCCTTATTCTCACATTGCAGGATGAGTAAAACGGAAGTGCTGATCACTTTTTAACTCATGCACCATAATTTTGTACACTCAGATGCTCTCCCTTCTGCGGCTTCTCTGCTGACCCAGACCACGATAAAACGAGGATGCCTTTCAACATTTGCAAGTCCTTACCTTACCCAGGTGTATCTACCACTCTTGGGACAGTGAGGGAGAATGTAATGGGTTTGGGGACCAAGTCATCTGCCACCTGCAGGAGTGGAGGTGGAGAGCGATGAAACCCTCCCTGCCATGGCTGGATCACACTGACACTAAAGTGTGCGGCTTGGTGTCTGCGCTTGACTTGTTCAATGAAAAAACAGCCTGTATTTTTCATTGCTACCAAACTAGCATCTCTTGCCAGCTCTAAGCACTTCCTTTAAAAAAAAAAAAAAAGGTTTGATCATTCACTTTTGGGGCCATGTTAAACTTGCCAGCATCTGTTCCTTCTAAAGGGAGGGAAAAAGCACTAACCCCAGACTGGGAAAAAAAAAGGAAAAGGAACTAGGTACCAAGTTGCATTGTGAGAAATGAAGCCAAGAAAAACAACATCTCAAGAGATATTGAAGACAAAAACAAATGTGGTAAACAGGAGCAGAGACAGATTTCAGAGGAAAGGCAGGAAGACGGTGACTAAAGCACCAAGAGTGAAATAGTGTACACATGGAAACTGAGTCCAGAGTTCCAGAGTTTCTTTGCTGTTGTTTTTTTCCTACTGTTTCACAGAAATCACGATCCTGTCGAGATCCCTCTGTACCCCAGGGTCAGTTATGTCAGTGAAAGCTGGTGGAGTTCCGTTCATTCATTTTCATTAAGAAGCAACTTTTTGAGATTTCCCAGAATTATTGGATTTTAAAATAATGCACTGACAACCTAGTTGAAAAATAGCAGTTAGGATTATTCTTAAACCAGTTCGCATTACAAGCTAGATTAAAAATAATAAAAAATACCTCCTTGATTTTAGTAATTGCAAAGATCCTAAGTTTGGATGCAGTCACCCCAAACACATAACACTAGAAAACCACATTTGTGACACTGCTACCCATTCAAGAATCATGGCAAATATGCACAGAGCTCTGCCTTTTCCTGCTCAGCAACCAGCTCGTTTCCATCACAAAATAAGTAAATATTATCTCTGGTTGCTCCCAAGCATTTGTTCTAATTTTTAAGATTTGCCCAACCACCCGTCTCCTCTCACCTTCAAAATTAGATATGAAATTATTATGAAATTTATTTGAAAATAAAAATTTCAGATTGAAGATCTAATTTTTTTCAAACCAAATGTTATTTGTTGTGAGGAAAAAAATCCTTTTTTTGCTGGGAGTTGCAGATGAACTCCTTCATCGCCCTCATTCTCATTGCATGTGCAAAATACAAGGCTTTCTATCACTCAGGTCCTGTGCTCAGGCTGTGCAGATGACAGCTCACAGCTATCCACATCCCTTTGTCTAAGAGCTGACAACGTTACACGTCCTTCTTTAGCTAGCATCCCCCTCACCCACTGTACAGCGATCCCCTGTGAGCTTTCTGACTTTCCCATCTTGCCTCCCAGGACAGCACGCTAACTTTCTGTTTAAGTCAACAGAGACTATTCTACCTCTCTGTCTAAATGAAGGCTCAGAGGAAACAGAACAAATGAAGTAAAACTAGGAAAGAGACCAGGAAATCTAGGTTAATGTTGTTCCACAGTCGTGGAAGCACGCACAGGCCAGTGTCTCCTCGACTCCTCCGCCAGTGTGCCCTCACAGGCCCCTTTCCCTGCCAGCCTCCTGCCACCCCTGTACTTCCCCTCCTTCTCGCAACTCCCTCCTTCTTCTCTAGGCCCCACTTGACAAATAATATCTCCGCTCTTTTCACCCCCACTGGCTCAGTTCAAAGCCAACTGCTGTTGCAAGAGGCAAGGTGCATCCCCACTGCAGCACAGAGGTACCCAGAGCAGCTGCAGGCCCGCTCCAGAAGAGAGTGCCCAAAGCAATACTGCACTATATGGTGATGCAGTGAGGCTGCAGCTGGTACCTTAGCTTAGCTTGTTTAAAGCTAGCCAAGGCATCTCTACGCTACAGTGCGGCTTGCGCTATACACACGCTCTCAGCTTAATTAAGCCTGTACCTTTTCACTAAGTTCCTTTTTTTAAATTCTCAAATTATATTTGAAAGGTTCTAATTAAGGAGAACAACCTCCCTCCTTGGAATCCTTCTTTCATCTCTCTTCCTCTCTGCTTTTTCCATCACTGCCTTTACCACACTGGGGCCTCTCCTAGGTCAAGGTGACCTGGACAGAGTGCTTATCCGGTAATGACTGAACCACAGTTGACCATTTTCACTCTGTAGACCTCCTTTAATATCAGATTTTATAACCCGATTACTACAGACTTGGGTTAGATTCAGACAGATTGCCTACCAGTGAAAGGCTCAATATCCCATTATCAGATTTGCGAGTTAGCCATTCCTCTTCATTTAGTAATGTAATAGAAAGTGTCAGTAACGTCCTATGGACTTAGGCTTTCAAAGGAGCCTCAACTATGCAAGCCGTATGTATATATCTGGAGCTTATATTACACTGCAGAGAGCACCAGGAGAAAACACTTCACAGAACTACACGCAGGACAACCTTTTTAAAACATTTTTTATTTAAATATTAAATAAAACACATTGACTAATCATTTTGGTGTACATCTCATTTTAACATAAGAAATAAAATGATTGTTCAGTCATGATAAAAAATAAACTATACATCTTAATTAAACCAATCACATAGTGTCTTTAAATACCCTATTGCATTGCAGTCTGCAAAACAGCACTGTCAAGATATCTACAAAAAAATCCAAACAAACAAACTTTTTAAAATGACCTCTTTCTGCTCCAGCAATAATTCCAAAGAGGTTCTACAGCAAGTGGAAAAGGGAAAAAAAAATACTATGAAAGTAAAGTGCTTGTCATTGCTTAGGACAGGAAACAAAAGAATCTGTGGCCTTTTGATCCATTGCGTTTAAACCAAACAAATATTGAAGAGGAAACAATTCTGCATTTTAAGTATGTGTGCTACCCCTTACAAAACTGAAGGCAGAGTTGCTGCTTTATGATGAGTTGGCTTCTTCTCATCCTCCTCTCTAGTCATCTTCCCACAATGTTTTTTTTTTAAAATGGCAATAAATTAGCATGAAACTTTGGTGTTTTCTCTGCTGCAAGGCACCAGTCATTCAGAAATTCAATTCAAGTAATTTTTCTCACTTCGAAGCTTCCAGACCACGTAGCAGCAGTGGCAAGCTGGAGATGCACCAATATAGACACACAGGTACTACGCACAGATAAAGAGGTCGTTTATGGAGAGCCACAGACAGAGCCACATGACATCTTCAACCCTTCCCCCTCCCACCAATTAACCTGGTCAATCTTTGGCTTTTTTGTTGTTGTTTTTTTTTTAAAAAACAGTTATCTATATTATTTGCAAATACGTAATACTGCAGGTTGCAAGAAGCCAAGGTAACTTGAAGGCACCCCGTGTCACACCAGGAGATGGGCCCTTTAAGCACCAAGACAGAAAGAAACTATTTTCTGACATTCAAACGGTAACTTCCAGCCAAGCTGGCTCACTGCTTGCTTACCTGCTTCCAAAGTTTGAACACCCAAGCCTATTTATTTTTGTAGGGGCACGGTCTGTTCTCCCCTTTACACCGAAGCACAACCTCTATTGACACTAATAGGAGTCATGCTCTGCCTTAGCAGGGAGGTTTATATCAGAAACACAATATAAGCATATTACAAAATATAAAAAATAACTAGTGTTATATAGTTTTCTGCTTCCTATTTATATACATATAGAGCATTAAAAACCATACATAAAAACACCTGCCTAATCCAAAACCTTATTTTTGCTAATATGCCAAAAACAAACCAACCAAAAACAAACACCCAAAGATTGTGCTGTTTTACTCACTTTTAATACAGTTTTGTTCAGAAATAGCTGTACTCTGTTAGAGTAGAATTCTGTTCTAGACTATTCCTTTTGTCTTTGTCAGTATATAATTATAACCTCAATATTGCACATTTCCCCAAGAGTCAGTTCTATTTGGACCCTGATAATGAAATGCATAAAAACATAATTAGCAGCGGAAATAAAAACGTGCAGCACTAAGAAATACCTCTCAGACATCTTTGCAGGCAACGTCCAGGAGGGCTTTTTAAAAAGAAAACCCTTCACAGCAACCTGCCAATACTAATGCTTCCCTCCTCAGTGCCTCTGCAGGAATACGAAAAAATTTAGCATTTATAAAAAGAATCCTAAAGATTAATTTAGACCAACAAAATATATGCATGTGTGTGCATATCTATATACATATATATACACACACACATATATATATGTACACGAAAACACACCAGTCCCAAACACACACTCCAAAAGACCAGACACTATGCAATTTCGATCCTGATATGAAGGGATACATTTTCAGGAGATTATTTGTTCCTGTGCTAATTAGAACATTTTTTAGCTTTTCCAGCTGACAAATCAAGCAAGAAATTCACAGTTTTCATGAAGTATAAGTATCTGGGAGGTGTGGGATGGGGATGTTGGTTCCTTTAAAATAAAATGAGTGTTAACTAAAAAGAAAAAAAGGCAATGCTTCCATTTTTGTCTTCTATGAATGCATAATGGTGCATGCCACTGTTTTTTTGTTTATTTTCTTTAAAAGAGGTAATCATCTTCACAAACCCATAAATGAATATTGTGAAAAGGGGAGGCTCTGGTCCCTTCTTTGAAAAGCCTCTCCCTGCTGTGTCACCACTACTGAAAGCTGCTAATCTTGCATAACAGCAGAGCTGTATTGGTCTTGACTTGAGTACAGTACCGAAGAGTTCCTCCCCAACCACATCCCTCCCTGTCCCCACAAAAGCCCCACCCATCTTCCCCATCATTATTTTTTTGTTAAAAAAAAAAATCAGTTTCTATTCATATTTGTTCAGTGCAAGAGTAGTAGAAGCAAAAAGACATACATATTGCTTGTTTCAGTTCTATAAAGTTGCTAGCTTTCTGAGACAGACGGCCTCTTCACATACTTCAAAATTTATTGCTTCTGAGAGTCACTTGTCCACACCAGCCAGCCAGGGACCCACACATGCCATGGAACGGTGGTGAAAGTTCTTTGCAAAAAGAGCAGCGGGAAGTGTAGCAGCCAGAGCTCTCATTTGACCAGGACAAATTTCCCTAGCTGGCTGGAAGTCAGGTCCTCCATTTCACAGTCCCCATGCTGCAAAGTGACAGCATCATAGCTTGGAGACTGCGCAGAGAAACTCTGTTGCTGAGAGAAGGTGGCGCTGACTGGAGAAACATTGCTGCTGATATACAGGTGAGTGTCTAGAAGGTGAGCTGCTGAGGACACTGGTGACACACTTACACCAAAGAAATGGGGTCGAAGCAGTTGGCCGTTGCCACCAAAGGCCAGCTCAAATGAGTTCTCTCTTTGTAGCTCTGACAACAGAAGCGAATTGGATGTTTTCCAGGTGCCTGTACTATCAGAGGAGGGGATGCCATTTGTTACAGATGTCTGGGGACAAGCTGGCTGGAGTAGCTGGTGATGCTGGAGCTGGAGCATTCTGAATAAAATCCAAGGGTGGAAGAGGTTAAGTTGCATTGCTAAGATTGGTTCATCCCTCTTTTTTTGCCCCCTCCCCCAATCATAACTTTCCCCTTTGTTTCCTTCTCTGCATCAAACCTCTCCAGACAGGGCAATTGAAACAGGTCCACTACCAAACAGGTCACTGTGTTTTCACTTGGCTTTTCCTCATGTTGGAGAGGGAGACTATCACCAAAAAGTTATTTGGTCACAAACTGGCCTGCTAGTAATAGCTGTTCTACAGACAACACATTGCAGATAAACCAGAAGCTCAATTTTCCATCTCACTTCCATAGGAATGAGGAGGTGCCACCACACATGACATTTGAGGCCACTGGAACTGTGCCTCTTTTGTGGGCTGTAACTTTTCCAAATTACAAGGTCTCGCACTTCCTTGTCATGGGAAGATTACAGGAGTAGGCAGAGAAGGAAAGAAAGCATTCCCAAAACTAACACAGAAAAGCACAGGCTGCAAATGGGAGAAACAATGTTTTCCCCCACAGTACCAAGGGCTTCTCAATTCAGCAACCTCTAAATATTTGGACTTCACAACTTCCGAATGGAACTGCATGCCCTGTGTTACATTTCCCAGTGCAGGGAGCCACAGTGGAAGTTAAACAGTTTATCTGCTGCCACAGAGCAAAGATGAGAGGAAAGGAAACCCCAATGACCAGACTCCCCAACCTCTTTTGTTGTATTCACTCTTCCTCTGCTGGCCCTCGCCAGCAACCCAAATGGAAACAGCAGAACTCCTCCAAGCCAGCTTCTCACCTCTGCTGCTGTAGCACCTCTTCCAAGAGGCTTCTTCCTTCTCTGCTGCTCCAGCCACTGCTGTACATGCAGGTGTTCGGCTGAGTGTGTTGGAAAGGGCTCATGGCACTCCTTGCTGCCCGAGATGAGGAGGACTGACACACCTGCCGAGCAAAGCCTTTGATTTTATTCAAGCCGAGAAACCCCTTGGCTCGAGCGTTCTTCCGCAGCTGCTGCCTAAAAGCCTTCAAGCCTGTGGGACACGAGGAAAAGAAATGCGCTTTAATCCTCCTTAGTATCTGCCTGGGAGCCTACTTTATAGGCCAACCTTTCTGGGCAGCTGCCTTCATTTATGTGAGAACTAAGCTAGAAGAAGTCATGATTCTTCAGTTCACATTCACTTCTCTGCCTCATAGTCAAAGCAAAGCTTATGTAATAGAACAGGGCTTGGAATGGCTCCACCCTAACGTGGATGGACATACGCACAGCTAAGGAGAATGCTGCCAGAAACCACAATGTGCGGTCTGT